GCTAATGTGGGTGGTATCTTTTTCTCAGAATAATGTCGAGTAAACCTAAAGTAGTTCGGTATGGAGACTCGAATTTTGAAAATACACTACTAAGGTAGTCCGAGGAAATCGAAAATGAAGATGACGCAAATGAAGAGGACCCCGGTCAACAAAGTGATTGCTTGGACGAAGAAAGAAACTTAGAAGATATCGTACAGAGTGAAGATAAGGCTACTGACACAAGTTACTCTAGCGATGATGATAATAAGCTACCAGAAGAAACTACGGATTCAGAAAATAACCGAGCTTATTATGGGAAAAATATATGCAAGTGGTCTCAATCTGAGCCTACGCGGAACAGAAGAACAGAAGCCCACAATATTGTTAGGTTTCTCCCAGGACTGAGGGGACCCATGACAAATTTAAACAATGCAGATAAATATAGTATTTGGAAGCTTAGGTTTGATGATAAAATGATACAGGAGATCGTAAATAGGACAAATGAAAAATTGAGCAGGAAACGGACAAAATACAAGAGAGAAAATAAACCTGAAATGAACGACATAGATATAATTGAACTGAAAGCTTTCTTCGGCCTACTTTATTACTTCGGGGCATTCAAATCAAATCACGAGCACTTAGATGCTATGTTTGCGACGGATGGAACTGGTCGCGACATATTCAGAAACACAATGTCGGTCAAAAGATTTTTGAATATTTTATCTCATTTGAGATTTGACAATGCTGATGACAGAATCATAAGAGTACTTGGAGACAAAGCTGCAGCGATATCCGGCCTATTTGACAAACTCGTTAGTTATTATGGTAGATTTCAGGGGCAGATTCCACTTTCGTATGTATATTCCCAATAAACCGAATAAGTACGGATTGAAAATTATGATCTTAGCTGACGCACGAACATCATATTTGTATAATGCATACATATATACTGGAAAAATCAGTGATGGCCGCGAACTTCCTGATGCCGATAGAAAATTGGCTGTGTCAACACAATCAGTGTTGCGGTTATGTAAACCAATTTACGGAATTAATAGAAACATTAGTGCCGATTATTGGTTTTCATCCTATGAATTGGTTCAGTCTCTAAAAACACACAATTTGACATACGTTTGGAGAGTCAGAAAGAACATGCGAATGATACCCCAGAGTTTCAACCCAATTTAGCTAGAACAGAAAAGTCTGCTTTATATGGATTTACTGCTGGTATGACCTTGTTGCCGTACGTTCCAAAATCGAAAAGCAACTATCATGATATCGTCTATGCACCACACCATTTCTTAATCAGTATTGCGATCAAGAAATCCAAAAACCAGAGATTGTAGCGTTCTGTAATTTGACTTAGGGTGGCGTTGATAGTCTAGACCAGCGCTGTTCCAACTACAGCACTAGTAGAAAGACAAGAAGGTGGCCAATGGCAGTGTTTCATACCATACTTGACATCGCGAGTATAAACGCATATATACTGTATGGTTGTTTTAGAAGTAATGACAGCATGTCTAGACTAAATTTTATAAAAAGGCTGTCGTTTCAATTGGTTGAAGAACATCTCAACAGAAGACTTTGAACCTTATGTCTACCGCGAGAATTAAGACTCTCTGTTAGCAAAATATTACAGAAACCTCTAACTGAAATTAGAAACGTAGCTGAGGAAGTGAACAATAAAAGAAAACGTTGCGCAAAATGTCCTAGAAGAGCTAATAAAAAGACAAGTACATTGTGTAAATTGTGTAATGTAGCAATATGTACAAATTGCACAGAAAAAATTTGCAAAGAATGCGTTAATAATAAGAATGTTCATATGTTGTGATTTTTTCATTATATATTTTTCTGCCATCTTTTTCTTATTTTTTATTAAAGTAAAGTGTTCATTTTAATTTTTTGTATGTTTTATATTTCTATTAATGTTTTTTTAATTCCTTTTTCAATAAAACGATAACATTTACAAAATACTTATCTTTGTTCTTAGCATAACACTTTAAGCACAAAACCAATTATTTTTTTATAAAATATTAATAAATTTAAACAATGTTAACTGACAGATGATAAATAATGAGAAAGTCTCAAAAAATTGCGAATTACTTGTTTTTATTTCTTCTTTTTTGAGGATTTTTTCTTGGGTACTCAGAGCCCCCACGTCACTACCTACGTAACAAATTAACCGATTTACCAGTTAAGGGTTAAATTATCTAAAATGAAAACATTTTGGAATTAGAGAGACATTTATAATCAGTCCATTCTAAACATAAATGTCGTTGGAATAGCTGAAAAGATTATCTAATGTATTATGTACGAGCGCTAACACAAAAATGTTCGGACATCAACTGATTTTGCGAAAAAGTTTAAAAATTTCCTTAAGGGATTTAATATCCTGTTTTTCATTTATAAGACATAATATGTATTGTTTACATCATATTTATGAAATTGTTTTCAAATAAACTAATATTGATTAATAAAACTAAACTAATGTTGATAAAAATGCAATATTTGCTGACACATAAATGTTCGGACACGTTAGTAAAACAAATAATAGCAAGCCATGGAAACAAAAAAAAAAGTGTTTCTTTTTGACATTTTAACTTGAGAATTAATTCGATTATCAATTGGCTCCAAAATGTCGCGTGGTAAAGCAACAAATGGTGCAATTAGAGAATTAATAGTAAAACTGTTTAACCAAGGAAAAACCTTTCGGGATATTGCTAAACAAATAAATGTCGCAAAGTCCACGGTGTCAGATATTGTGAAAAAATATGGAGAAATGGGTTCAACTCAAATTTCAAGACGTGGTGCTGGTCGGCCACAGAAAGTCACTTCCCGAATGCAAAGATCTCTTGTTCAGATTTGTAAAACTGATCGCCGAAGTACTGTAAGGGAAATAACAGCAAAATGAAATGAAGGAATAATTGGAAATGTTTCACGAGAAACGTGTCGTCGCTAAAACCATAAGTCTGGTTTACATTTTTATAAGGTACGTAGGTTACGTTTAAGGAAAATCTCATATTTATGTAGTGAAATCATTGGTTTAGGCAAAAGAAAAGCCGTTGCTTACCAAAAGAAAAGACGATTAGCGTGGGCAAAGGAAAGGGCAATGTGGACTTTTGAAGACTGAAAAAGAATCATTTTTACCGATGAATCAAAATTTGATGTTTGCGTGGGTGACCATCGATCACGTGTTATAAGAAACAAAAACAAAGCCTTTCACAAAGACTGCCTAAAGAGAAAAATAAAATTTCCATCGGGTGTTATGGTATGGGGAAGCATGTCTGGTTTCAGTGTTGGAAAACTGCACTTTATAGGCGGAATTGTAAACGCAGCAAAATATCAGAACATTCTTGAAACCAATTTGTTAATGTCAATTCCAATTTTATCACCTGATGGAAACTTTACTTTTCAACAAGATGGCTCCTCCTTCCACACAGCCAAGACCACAAATAAGTGGCTGCAGAACAGCAATATTTCCGTCCTTGACTGGCCCTCCAGCAGCCCTTATCTAAATAGAAGATTACGAAAAGCTTGTTAAAACTATGCCTGATAGAATAAAAGCTGTTATTAATGCAAAGGGAGATGCAACCAGCTATTGATGTGATTTGTCCAAACATTTATGTGTCAATAAATATGCATTATTATCAACATTAGCTTAGTTTTATTGATCAATATCAGTTTATTTGAAAACAATATCATAAATATGATGTAAAACAATACATATTGGGGTCTATTTTGTAACAATTCCTTTATATTTAACGGCCTTTAAAAATATTTTCTTCTTTACTTCTGTTCCTATTTAAACGGATCTTTAAAATATATTAGAGGACTATCTTAAAGAAATCTGTTTAAGTAATAACAAAAGTAAATTAACGAATACGATTATATTTTTAAGGGCCGCCAATATTTTTAAAGGCCGTTAAATATAAAGGAATTGTTACAGAATAGACCCCATTATGTCTTATAAATGATAAACATGATATTGAATCCCTTAAGGAAATGTTCAAACTTTTACGAAAAATCAGTTGATGTCAGAACATTTTTGTGTTAGGGCTCGTATTATCTTGTAACGTTATAGATGTTAATTCATTAATTTTTGCCTAATTTCAAACATTAATTATGAATAAGTACATTCTATGTGGAATGCTCTATAAGATAAAGTGCAAATACTCTTATGTTTTTGTTCGCATAGTGTTATCCACTAATTCAACCATGGTCTTATTATTTATAACCTCATAGATATGATAGTTTTATATAAAACTGTTCTGTCCTTTTCAAGTTCTAAGTTTTCCTTACCGTAAGTTAGTAATTGTCCAGTTTATAGTACCTATTTTTAGAATTTAATTGCTTTAAATATCGTCGTCTTTTTACAAAATGTAGTGAGATCATTTCTTTTTCCAGACTTAAGGAAATATATATTAGGTATACAGCGTATACCAATAAAAAGTCCCAAGCCGGACATTTTGGAGAGGAATAGAGATGTTTTAATTCTGTAGAAGCCACTAAGAGAGCTACCGTTTTGGATATAAAATTATTTTAAATATATCAATATGTAGATGGCGCTGAGCTCAAATTTTTTTGTTTTTGATGGATCTTTTAAATATAGCTTATCTTGTAGAAAATCCATTTTTAAGCAGATTGCTTTATAAAACAATTTGATAAATTCAGCAATTTTTGATACATTTATGTAAACAATGCTATTCCCAAACAACTAAAATTGTACTAACCCATACTTTTTACTTTATTGGAAACAATACTGCTTTTACAGTGGTATCTACATATACCATTTAAAGGAACAAACACGCTTTACATCACTAAACTTGTAAAAAGGAAAATAGTTTTAAATGAATTATAAATAATAATAAAATCGCAGGCAGTTGTGAAACAAAATTTTTTGATATTTTCAATCAATGAAGTTATTTTTCTAAAGTTGTACAAGTTGTTATTATCGACAATGGTTTTTCATACAAATCAAACATATAAAATTTGTCTGGGTTAAAGTTCATTGTGGTATAATTAGAAATGAAGAAGTAGATGAGTTAGCAAAAAGCACCATAGAAGAAAAGAAAAATAAGAAAAAAGAAAAGAAGAAGAAGAAGAAGAACAAGAAGAAAAGAAGAAAAAGAAGAAGAAGAAGAAAAGAAGAAGAAGAAGAAGAAAAAGAAGAAGAAGAAGAAGAAAAAGAAGAAGAAGAAGAAGAAGAAGAAGAAGAAAAAGAAGAAGAAGAAAAAGAAGAAGAAAAAGAAGAAGAAGGAGAAGAAGAAGAAGAAGAAGAAGAAGAAGAAGAAGAAGAAGAAGAAGAAGAAGAAGAAGAAGAAGAAGAAGAAGAAGAAGAAGAAAAAGAAGAAGAAGAAGAAGAAGAAGAAGAAAAAGAAGAAAAAGAAGAAGAAGAAAAAAAAGAGCGAGTAATATTTGACTTTCATAGCTACAACCATAAAAAGAGAAACTCAACGGCATATAGTAACAACACGATGTTTTAATCTTATTTGCACACAACTACGTCATATTGAAATCTAATTTTTTGTTCACTACAATGAAAATTTATATTATAAATATATTTTCAGCAATAAAATAATGAATCACCTTTGGTTGGTAAAGGTGGAAGTATCCGATAAGTCAAGCGTCCTATTTTTTTTAATTAGAATTCCTCTGTTCCCAGGTTAGTTTTCATTTAATGAAAATACCTTTCCTAATTACGGATTTGCATTAAAACTAGCAATTTTGTTGATAAATCATTATTGGCATACCAGTGTTACAATTTTTCGACAGCTATACTACTTCTAGATCAAAATTCTGAGTCCATACAGCTCATTGGTAATGATAAGGAATATTGGACTGGATGGATATAATTTGCTTATACCTTACACAGCAATTTTAGAGAGTATAATTTTGGTGCACAAGTAGAAACAATATTCTTTAAGTATTTAGAATTAATTGTATTATATATTATATAGCAGATAACTTTTTTAAATACCTAATTGTTATCGTAATAGTATCTTTTTTATAATTCAGAGATTCTTAAAAATTAAACAAATTAAAAAAGTATACAATATGCTAACCAACTCACCTAGCAGAATAAAGATAAGACGCCATATTATATTTAGACTTGAGGGAAATATAGAGACTATCGACTATCTGCCTGCCGTAATTGGACGCATGGTTACACCTCTTCTACCGCTAGTGAGATCGCGAGTATGCTCTAGGTCTGTCTATTCAACATCTGCGCCAATAGTATTAGGTGTCTATACCGTTCTCTGGAGAGAGGTTTGAAATAGTATATTATATTTTTTCTATACTGTGTTCTTACAAAGTAGAATGGATATGAACTATATTTGTTCAGTTGAACGTAATGGCGTACTTTTTCGTTTTGTATTTTGTGCAAGCTACTATCCATGCGGGTGTAGAAAAAAATTATTTTTTATGTTTCAGTAAATATCGATGCAAGTTTAAAAGGTTTAAGTATAGAAAATTAAAGGCAAAAGATAATTCTAGCGTATAATAGCAAACATTTACAAAATTTGGTAGCGTCTATAGATAAAGGATATAGTTAATATTATCAAAAAAATATTTTTTCCACACCCACATGGATATTAGCTTATCTACGCACATATTACAAAAGAAAAAAGTATGCTATTGCCTTCAATAGAACGAATGTATTTCATATCCATTTTAGGTAGTAAGAACACTGCAAAAAAATGAAATCCACCAATCACCTTTCATATTTTGATCAACCAACTGCTATTATTTTTAAAATTTTAAATAAGTGACAATTCTGTCAAACTAATTTTCAGTATATTTTTTAGTTATTGAGATTAAACATACATTAAAATGAGTTATTCTTGTGTAGAATCGATAAATAATAGTATTTTTGTTTTTATTTCGTTTATAATTATAAATAATTTGTTAATTTAAATAAAACTATATGAAGTCAATTTAATTACGAATATTAAAGCAACAAAAATAAAATAATAGGTAGTCCTGTGATCATCGTTCAGGCCTTCCACGCGGAAGACTGGAGTTCGATTCTCGGACGGGGAAAAATAAAACGAACTTTCTTTTTCGTTTATTTTATTTTAAAAATTATTAAAAGTCATAAATTTGATCTTAATAACCTAACATATTTTTTAATTTGTAAATTTTCGTTAGTAAGTGGTAGAAGAAAAATACTGTGCAACTCGAGTAGATTGTCCGCATCACACTCATATTTCGTCTTCTTGCGATATGGCCATCATCTCCACTCTTGTTGCACAAACTACTATTATGCCTATCATTAAATATTATTCTATAATTCTTATTGATATTTTTGAAGTAAACATTTATAAATCCATTACTTTAATAGCATTTTTTTTACTTCATCTTTATTCACATAAATGTCAAGAAATGCCAAAGCAGTCCTAACTCCAGCAATTTAACTATTCTTGTTTGATAAAAACTATTTTAAAATTGAATTTCATTAGACTCGCTAATATCTTACGGTATTTTAGGATAGACGTTGTAAATACAAATTATTATTTTTTTTATAAAGCAGACACATCTGATTATCTTAGGTTTTGTTTAGAGAAACTGACAGTACCTGCCCTTTAAAGACAATAAATGGGTTGTATCTCACTTCTACAGAAACGTACGTTAATTTTCATGTAAAGAGGATTGGACCTTGTGGCCTTCAAGGTCTCCAGACTTCAACTCTTGTATTTTTTATTGGGATCCCATGAAACAACTTTTGTAGAATTAACCAATACATAGATTATTTGACTGAGAAAATAAACATTCCTAACGCGGAAATAAAACAGAACACGGGCCTAATTCTTTATAAATACTAGCAGCAGCAGCATGTTTTTTCCTGTGCTTGTTTGACTTAGTCTACAATAACATTAAAGCCTATTGGCTTATTGTATTTGACCAATATTTATTTAGAGTACCTACTGACTCTGTCAATTTCGTAGGTTTACAAGCAAAAGGCATTAAATCAAAAAATAAGTTTATGAGTTATAAGCAATTTAAAGTTTCAATGAAGTTCTAATTTTTTATAAATTATTTAGGGATTATCAACTGCTTCAAAGAAAATGTACATGCTTTCGAAATACAATGTACTGTTTTTACATGATATACAAAAATATAAACCCATTTTAACAAATTTTTGAAAGTGCCTTTTGCTTGTTAGCCCACGATTAGTCTCTTGTACAAGTTTGCACTAGTCCTTGACAGGGTGTGATTTATCGGTTCTTAGATAAACCTGTGGTTGTCCATCTTCTGAGATGAAATGTTTTACAGCTGCATAGCATGTGTTTGGCTGTATCTAGTTCCTTGTGACAGTAGATACAATAGGTTTTCATTAAATATGCCTATTTTGTTCAGGTATCTCTTTACTGGGAGCATACCCGAGTCCTGTTATTGTTTTCAAAAGGTTTATATCCAAGGAGAATAGTTCTTAGGTTCTTTTTGACCATGGTCTTCTAAGAAAGGTTTTCCCGTGTGTTTGCTTTGGGACACTTTCCCAAGTATTGTTGTGTTTTTTCTGAACCCAGTCAGTAATGAAACCTCGAAATTTACTTTTTGGTAATGCAAGGTTTATATCTGGTTTCGGTAGTTTTTCTGACCCTTCCTTTGCAATTTTGTGAGTCCTTTCATTGCATTCGATCCCTTGATTTTCTGGCACCCTAATTAGTTTTACTTTATTTTGGTATCCCACTGTTCTCAGTTATTTGATGCAATCTCATATCAGATTCGACGTCACTTTTTGAGTCGATATGGCCTTAAGAGCCGCGTGGATATCTGACACTATTTGGATCTGCTTATTTTTGATAGCTCTCCTGTTATTTGTTATTGCACCTTGCGAGACTGCATAAACCTCAGCCTGAAATACAACATATTAAACAATTGTTTGTAGTTTAGTGTTTTCAGTCTAAAACACGCAGATTCAAAAATTTATAGCAATAGATATACACCGCTTTCGTATTTTTGTCTAAATGCAGATTTCATTATTAGCATGTTTGGTTGGGAGGGGATGTCCACAGGGAGGGGTACCATCACCTCAACTGTGGAATATGGTCCTCGACACTCTCATCAGCCACCGCAATAATGACAGTCACTACACAATAGCATATGCAGAGAATTTTAAGAACATATTCTGCGAAAGAATGCAAGTAACTTTCAAAATTATCGAACAGTGGTGCAATGACCATTTACTGTCTATCAATCCTAAGAAGACATAAATGGTCCTTTTCACAAGGAAAAGAATGAAAATGGAATTAAAATTTTCAGAACTCCTAAACACAAAACTAGACTTTGCAACAGAGATGAAGAAAAAAGGTCTTACCTTCGACAGCAAGTAAACATGGAACTCGCATTTAGAAAATAGAAATAAAAGAGCGCACTTGGGGTTTCTCCCCTAGAGTCGTTGCATGAATGTACACAGCTATCATAAGACCTATGCTAACATACGGTGCAGTTGTCTGGGTATTAAAAACCCAGAAATTAACAGCTATCCGTAAACTAGAACAAATTCAAAGAACAGCATGTCTTCACATAATAGGAGCCATGAAAACAACACCGACCAGAACCATGGAAGTCATTTTTAGTCTCACTTCCCTTGATATTTACATCAAGGAGGTTGCTATGACGACAATGACACGCCTCCGCACAATTGGAATTAAACCTGATGTAGGATCTGGTGAGACGAGACGTCGCTTTTGGCAAGAGACGCTCGATACGCTCCCACTGCTTCAAGCGAACATCTCACTGAGATATATCTTCCATAAGCCATATAAAGTTATAATAGAACAAATGGATGAGCCGGAAGTAGCAGGTACGATTTATATCCACACCGACGGTTCTAAAACAAAACAAGGCTCAGGATGTGAAATATACTCCAGATTCCTAAACCTAAACATAAAATGGGCTAAGAGCAATAGTGCAAGTGTAGTTCAAACAAAGCTAACAGGAATTCTCGTAGCAGCAAAAGAAATAACCAGAAATAATATGATTGGAAGGAACATGCTCATCTATACAGATGGTAGACAAGCACTACTCACCCTGAACAGACCACGAATTTACTTAGGGTTAGTACTAGATCAAAGATCACATCGAAAGGTCACATCGAAAGTAACCGTCTTGCTGATTCACTAACCAAGAAAGCAGCCAACCAAATACTTTTTAGACCTGGCCCTTCTATTGGCCTGACAAAATCGGTAGCGATAGACCTAATCAAAGAACATTCCCTTGTGAAATTCAAGTAAAGATGGGATGAAACAAGAAACTGCAGAGTTGGTAGGGAACCTTTAAGTTATCTTGACAACACTGCAGCCAACAAATACTTGACTGTGACTAGACAGAATCTGCGCCTAGGCCGAGGCATTCTGACTGGTCATTGCCAAGTACGAAAGCATCTCCATATCATGGGGCTGTCAGAATCCGCACTCTGCAGAGAGTACGGATAAGAAGATGAGACCACCGAGTATATCTTTTACGATTGTTCGACACTCTCGTTTATTATTAGATTTGTATTCGGCGAGTATCGGCTAACACCGGCCGATATAAGAACGTTGTCAACTACATTAAATCTGTAGGCTGGTTCACGAGCTAGGAGGTGCCTATCATCTCAGGAGGATGCACAATGGACCTAATGAGACCTGAGTGCCGTGGGGGGTAACTCACCCTCCACACGTTACAGATACAGAGATTTTTAGCATGTTTATATTCTTGGGTTTATTTAAAAAATATTTTTCATAGAATTAAAAGGATCGGCAGCACCGTAAACGGTTTCAGATTTGATTTTGATTTAACAGTCAATCCTAGAGTAGCGGTAAGAAAAACAAAAAGTGGACTCATTGTTTAATTCGATGGCTCAATCAAAAACCGCCACAAGTCAAAAAACATTTTTGTTTTACTGGATGCAAAATATCATTAAGTTTTTATTTTAAATATCGCAACAAACAAAAATATCCTTAGAAACTCATTTAAAATCTAGCTAAAACTGCCCTAATTCTAGTTATTTTCTGCAAAAACACCCAATTTTTTTTACAAACTATGAGATAACTCGAGTTAGGGTGCTTTTATAATCGTAATCGTTAATTTTAATAGCAAAATGTCGTTGCTTTTAAATAAAAAATAAAGATTTTATGTCAAAAACAAAATATTCATAACAGAAACTTACAAAACTTTAAAATTAAATTTCTCGAAACAATACTATTTTAGTTGTGGCAGTATTTGATTGAGCCATCGAATTTTAGAATGCAATACTAAAAATGGTGCCATTCGTTTTTGGTCATCAAACACGTTAAATATGCCTTTTAATAACACCCTATATTATAAATAAAGAAAATATCAAATTAGAGTAGAACTTGCCTAAAGAATGTTGCAGAGTAATAACAATTTCAATTTCAACTAATGCAGTAAAAGATCAGTAGAATAATGTAACTAAAATTTAAAAAAGAATATAATTTTTCGTTAGGTAAGAGAAGAAATAACAATTCTACGCGTAGTTATATAATTGATCTATTTTGGCGATAAAAGTAGTTCATGCTCCGTTCTATCCTACGTGAAAAGCACAGGTCTAAGATGGCTCTCTCACGCGATGACGACCTATATAAACAAAGCTACCGGGTGCTCCTGGACCACTCAGTGCAGATCTTTCGCAGCCTGTTAGAAGATGTTTTCCAAAGTGAGTTTTTCGATTTTACATTTTTCCCGCTAAAATTAGAATGGGTTATTTTGTTTTTTTAAAGAATCTAAATTATTTTGTATTATTTTTGTAATTTCAAAAAATTAGTTTCTTAATAGCTTTAAATTTAAATAGTTGATTTAATTTGAAAGGTATTTTAACTTGTAAAATTAATTTGATCATTTTATGATAAATGATTAAATAAATTTTACATTTATTTAAACAAAAGTATTTTAAAGAATACATAATATATGCCTACCTAATCAACAAAATTGAAAATTTAAAAATAATTTTGAAACAAAAAACTCTACCAGCATTTATACAAATAATAATTTATTGCTGAATTTTAAAACACTTTTATTAAAATAATATGAAAAATTAGAAAAAATGTTATTTTAAAATTTGAAGTGACTTAAATTTTGACTAGATATATGACATTAATATAGAAGAAAGGAAAAATTTATACACAGCTTACTAATTTTTATTTTTAATAAACTTAAAAAAAATATAGTTTTATTCCAAATTGTTAAATTTATGTCTATAAATATTTTAAATAAATATATTTAACTCCTTTTAGTTTATATAATTTTAACATTAAAATTACTTTTTTTATATAAATAAAAATTTTCTTGGTGTATTCGGTCATTAATTTTATTTTATATCGTTATCACAGCACTACATATGTTTCGGAAACCTTTGTTTCCACCTTCTAGTGCAGTCAAAATTTTAAAAACATTAAAAAACACATGAGGACGATTACAAACAGTTTAAAATTTTTTAATTACCAGAAACACCCGATCCTTTTGTTTTAGCGTGTGTTTTTTTTATAATTTATCATTTACTAAAGTATCAATAAAAAAAATTTTAGAAAACATATATTTCTTTAATTTATTCATTATTATTAATTTCACTCAAATTAATAATTATATATTGTTAAATTTAAAGTTTATATATTTTTTCAGATTTTTGTGTTCGTTGCTTTCTTAGCCGTAGCTCATGCTGGAGTTATATCTCCAGGAGTTGGTGCTATAGTAGACAACTCCCAGTACACCTTCGGTTACAGCGTGGATGATCCTTTCACCGGTGACAGCAAAGCCCAAGTCGAAACCAGAAATGGAGGATATGTACAAGGTAAGAAACATATTTTAATCCATTCAGGAGCCTAAAACAGTAATTTTTGAATGGTAACTACACATTTATAGGTTTCAATATTTTCTCCGTAATAAAATTTCCAGTTTCGTAAGGAATGTATGCTGTAATTACTGAGGCCCTTCCTATGGTGCCTCAGTATTGTATTAGTGCAGACGAAAACATTTTCTTGCCCCCGTTTTTTAAAGTCCGAAAATGCAAAAAAAACGTTTCGTCTGGTCGTATGTATGTATGTATGTATTCCGGCACTATAACTCTAGAACGAAAGTTCTGATTGACTTGCGGTTCTGATTTTCTTGAATAATTACTTCTAACTTAGAACCCTATTGATTTTCAGAATTTTCGGTTCATCCTAACTACTTTATAATCAATTTTCTTAAAATCCGCATATGCATTTCTAATGTTACAATTTTAGGAATTTCAATTATTTTTAAGTCAACATTCCTAACATTCTTAAAATTCCATCAATTGCAAACATTCTCCAACGACCTGTCAAACAACAGCTGTTGATAGTAAAAGTGAAATTTCTAAGGCGGGTTGCGACCTTCATACTTGCAATCATAGCCATTTTGGGCTATTCGAAATTAGTAGCCTAGCCTGCCAATTTATGAAAAATATATAAGCAATTTCTTAAAAATGACTTTTGTATGGTGGTGCTAACTTAAGCGTACTACTATTTCGCCCCTAGCCACAAAAACACCTTTATCAAATTTATTGGCTTTCTGTCGCAACCCCATAAAATAATTAACCGGCCATTTTATTTGGCAAAAATCAGAATAATGATTGGCTGTGCCTGTCAAGTATCAAGATGTCAACTGTGATGTGTGAATGACTCTTAAATGTTAAATTATTTAAAAATTTATACTTCTTTTGATATTTATTGCAAATAATTTGTAGTATATCTCAATTCAGGCTTAAAGGTACAGCAAGATAGATAATATAATGTTCTTATAAAAAGGTAGGATATACTGCTGGTTTTTTTGTAGAAAATTTTTATTATACGATTTTGGATTACATATTGAACCAGTGAATTTTATATAATAATTAGTAAACTTCTAGTCATAAATTTCCTCAATAAATAAAATTTAAAATTGAATCTTCTTACCTTAGTACCGAGGTATTTTGTTGTGTTTTTCATTTTAATTATAAAGTTGTCATTTATTTGTATGTTGAAATAAGGCCTTTGTAAATTACATTGCTCTCTATGGATCTACTTTAACACAAAAATAGTTTTGTGGCTATAAGTTGCTATAACCTATCGTCGCAAAACTATTAATAATTTAAAAATAGTAAATAGTAATATTATAACATCAAGTAATTTTTTTAAAATAGAAAGAATTTATAATAAATGCGGGTAAAACGAGGGGTAAAATAACAATAAATTAAGGGAAATACTTAAAAAGGGCAGATTTAAAGAGTATTATCATAAGAAAGTATATCCGTTCTGTTTATTTATCAAGTATTGTTTGAGGTTACTTTTGAATACATTTATTGTTTTTTTTTTTTTTTTTTCTGTAGGAAGTCTATTAAATTTTTTAAACCTTTAATAAAAATTGTACTTTGGGAACTTTTAGTGATGGCTCGCCATACATGAAAGTCAGATTGGCTTCTTGTATTTTAGTTGTGATATTTCGAATTACATTGAATTTTTTCTAATAGATCTGATGCGATGGTACTATGTCAGTTTTATTTAATAAATAAATATCAGTCATGTAACGAACATAATTCTAAACTGAAAGCCAATTTATTTCTTTTAACATAGTTGCAATACTCATCTTTCTTTTCTTTATTAATATTATATAAACAGGCGAAGTAAGGAGCCCAAATATTTTACATGAGCAGGCTTAAGAGGTAAAGGGGCCAATTATTATTGGATAAGTTGATTAAACAAGTTTGTAAACCCTAATCAAAAGGCGATATAGAATGGTTTTAAAAATCAAGGCTTATGGAAATCATCACATGGTATAATCTAATTAATGCTAATGCTTCACAAACCAAACAAATTCAACGTCCTAATACTACTATTGGCTTTCGGTCTTTTGTTCCAAGTTAAATCATTTCTCGTTTTTGTTATGCTACGAGTTTAGCCTTGTGGGCCTCAGTCTCGATAAGGTGGGAATCACCATTTTAGCGTCTCTCGAATTTACTTTCCTTTAACATTTAGGCTATAACCTACACAAAACACTATCTTCAATCAAGTATCATCTCAAATATTCCTATATTAATATTTAATTTAATACTTTTGAGAAGTTTAATTGAATTGCTTAAATAATCTTTCGTTTCCGTTTATTGTTCATCCAGAGATTCCATAATTAATTTGCTTTAGAGCAAAAAAATAAAATATGTTTATTATTTAACACATGTTTTGGATTTTATATTTGTCGTTCTATGTATCTACCTGAAGTTGTTGATGTGTGATGCTTCTCGACCATCAGTTATATCCAATTAAAAAGTTGTTCATTTTGCTACATTCGAAAAGTTTGTTTTAATATCGTGTAGTACATTCATTACATTACGCATCGCAGATTCGTATTTGTGGTAGTGTTAATGTCAAAAATACAAAGAGAAAAATTCAAGAGAGAAACGCGTAATTTTTTAACATAGTTTTTATACTAGCAATCTGTTATTATGAACGATTTTTTTAATGATACGGTAATGTATGTTAACATTATTATTAGTTTTTTAAATTAAAAATACATTGTTAAAATAAACATTTATTTGTTTATTATAACAAGAATTGTTAATAAACATTTATAGCTTTTAGCATCAATATCAATATCCATATCCAGTAGGTTCTTAATAGTATTTTCAATGACATCCAGAGTAATTTTTTCTTAGTTTAATTCAAAAACCAATATATTTATTTATTTAAAAAAACAGCAAATATAAAAAATAACAAAACATTTAAAAAACCCATTTTATCACTATTACTTATTAAAATGTATGTGTGGCCACTCAAAAAAAGGTCAAAAAAAGGAGTAAGCACTCGGGCTTGGAAAATATGCACCTAAAAATGATCTAAATATGTTTTCATTAATGCGTTAACAATAGACAGAAAAGGCTTTTAAATATTCAAAATAAAAAGACAGTCATTTTTGATATTTAAATTTTATTATAGACTATTTAAAAATTTGATTAGATGATTTTACATTTCCATCATTTACATCTAATTAATTATTATTATTATTATTATAATGAAAACAGTAAGTTAATAAATATTTTTCAATGTTTTCAATAGCGAAACATTGCCTTCTATCACTTAAAATATGTTTGTACGCCGAAAATGAACGTTCCACTTCACAAGACGTTATAAGTGCATATTTAAATTTTGAAGTTAAAAGTGGTGAAATATTTGAATCCAATTCATTATTAAAGTTGCCAGATAAAACATTATTTATGCCCTCTAACGTCTGAAATCCTTTATTGTTTAGTAAAACTGATGTAAATTGTCCATTAGCACAGATTGTTCAATAAAAGATTTTAAATTTTTAACAGTTTGTATGTTTTCAAATAATGCCATACGTCTAGATTCAAGCTTAGTTATGGCTGTTGCTATACGTGTATAATTTGCTTGAATGTGGACAATATGGCTATAAACTATGGGATTAAAAATATTGATGCATTTTTTAATTGCAAATAAGTCTTCTGGGTCAAAGTCGCAGATGACATCTTTAATTTCGTTAAAATTTGTCGCGATAAAATTAACACAGTTTAACCAAGTGCCTCATCGTGTTAAAACTGGTTCTGGTGGCAATGAAATTCCTGGCAAATGATCCTTATAAAATTGAACCCGAAGAGGAGCTTCTACAAAAACCTTTTTAATATTTTTAATTAAATCATTTACGAGTGGAAATTCATTCCTAACTGTCTCAGCCACCCTATTTAAACCATGTGCTAAGCATGTATTGTGCAATGGATTAAATTCGGATAACATATTTTTAAGTTTCCAGCTGCTTTTACCATGTATGCAGCAGCATCAGTGACCATTAATAAAATATTGTTTGTAGGCACTTGTCTAGGTAAATAAAAATTTGTTAACGAATCGTTAATAAATCTCGTTATCGTTAAATTATTTGTTTTGTCTAGTGCGTAATATTATATTATAAAATTTGCAATATAGCGCCCCTGCGTATCAGTTGATTCATCAACCGAAAACCACACAGGTTTATCGTTAATTTCATTCTTATAGAATTCAATGCGTTATCAAAATTAACTTGAACATATTTTTTGCTCAAAACGGAAGAACTGGGTAAATTTTCCTCCTTAAAATAAGTTTTAAAAAAATTGCTAAACAGAGGATTATCCAATTTGTGAATTGGAATATTACAAGACACAAATAAATTATTGTACAAATCTCTATTAAAATTGTCCTGCTGATAAGAAGTGGTTCCTTGGTTTGTTATTAACTGTTAAATCAATCGGTTTGGAAGTTGTTTTCTAGATTAGTTGTTCCTAAATGTTGATCCACTTGAAATTTTTTAGTGCAACCTGCAAATATAAAAGATTTTTTTTTAAATCCAAAAATACGAGAATTTTTATATATAAAAATAAAATCTAGATGATTTTCAAAAAATCTGGCGGGTAGAAAGAAGCTTTTGAGGATAAATAAAAAAAAAACATTTCCTTATTTAAAAAAAATAAATACTATTATATTGTTGATTTTTTAAAAATTAAATGAAATCCAAATAAACAATTTAGTATCGCTCTTAGATCATATCTTGATTTTATTTCTTTTTACTTCTAAAATAGGATTCAGCTGACTTTGAAAAAAGTTATTAGTGTGAAAAATATACGAAAAATGTTAGTTATCCTTACCAGTGGAGCAAAAAACGTGATTAGAGTCTACGATTCTCAAATCACTTTTTCCATAGATCCATTTCTTCATCATTTGCATTTTTCCCATAGCCTGTTTCGGCACTTTTAAAATGAACGTTATTACTTTCACACTAACGGTACTTTTGCAGGACCACAATCAATAACAA